AAATCATGGTTGTTTACAATCTCCATATGATAAAATCATGGTGTTTACAATCTCCATATGAATAAAACCATGGCTGTTTACAATCTCCATATAAATACAACCATAGTGGTTTATAATCTCCATTTGAAGAAAAAAAACACGGCAGTTTACAATCTCCATATGAATAAAACCATGATGGTTTACAATCTCCATATGAATAAAACCATGGCGGTTTACAATCTCCATATGAATAAAACCATGGCGGTTTACAATCTCCATATAAAAAAAATCATGACGATTTACAATCTCCATATGAATAAAACCATGGCGGTTTACAATCTCCATATGAAAAAAATCATGGCGGTTTACAAATCTCCATATGAAAAAAACCATGGCGGTTTACAATCTCCATATGAATAAAACCATGGCGGTTTACAATCTCCATATGAATAAAATCATGGCAGTTTACAATCTCCATATGAATAAAACCATGGCTGTTTACAATCTCCATATGAATACAACCATAGTGGTTTATAATCTCCATTTGAAAAAAAAAACACAGCGGTTTACAATCTCCATATGAATAAAACCATGATGGTTTACAATCTCCATATGAATAAAAACCATGGCGGTTTAATTTCCATATGAATAAAACCATGGCCGTTTAATTTCCATATGAATAAAACCATGATGGTTTACAATCTCCATAAAAACAAAGAGACAAATGGAATAAATGTACAGATTTTTTTTTTATTTTCCGAGTATCAGCCAATATATACAGCAAGTATATGAAATATGACAAAATATACACAAATGACATGAAATGTTAGGTTATTACGTAGATTCAGCACATGAATCACAAACGTAATATAAATATGCCTTCATTTCCAATTACTAGTAATTAATTTCTTTTCAGATTAAAGGGCAGTAGTTGTTGCGCCACACATGCACGAGATGTATAAACAAAGATGGCGACACAGACTGTTGCGCAGATCAACGAGTAGACGACCCTTGTTTATTCAACCTTTGTATAGGCAGCATGAAAACAGTATTACATATGTTTAAATTACATTCATCATTTCTTTTCTATATTGCCATAAATCAGTTACATATTTCCTAATTAAAGCTGATGAGGTATTTCCCACATTTTCATTTATGTTCCATAGTGTATCACCAAAAAGGAAATTAAACCTATAATTCAACCCCCCTGAAAGAAAACTATTCATTAGTGATGAAGATTCAACATTGTTTCTCAGTGAGGTTTCTAATGCTAAATAATATTCCTTTCTAATATGATTAGATGACGTACAAAGATAAAGAAAGTCGCGCCTTAGATTGTGGGAAAATCAATGTTGACGACCACCACGCTTTAATAAATGTAAACTCAAACAATGGGACAAGAACTTACTTTACTTTTTGCAATACAGAATGTTTTTTATTACAGTCTGTAATATTTTGAACTGTTCTGTACCTCTGCCTGTACCCATTATGCCTGAAAGCCAATGGCTGGATAGACAGTCTACAAGGCAAGCAGTAACTGTGGTTACTTGCTTTTCATTTTCTGTAAATGCAAGTGGGCAACCATACAGAAGTTGTTTTTATGGTTGTATAAACAAAAGAAAACAAAACAAAAGAAAACAAAAAATTTACGAACAAATAAGAACTACGTATAAACAAA